TCTTCCCACTAGAGTAAGTTCCCTCTCAGGGATTCTTCTGCTTAAGGGTGGTTTTTTAACCATCAGAAATACACAGTGAACTGCACTGATAGTTCAATTAAAAATATAATGGAAACATATAGAATAATAAGTACGTAAATATTGTGGTTATTTAAGACATAAACTTATTACTTGCTCTGAGTGTTGCCAGGTCAGTAGGTGGGGAAGCTGCTTTCTTCTTGCAAAGCCATGCTGAATTCACCAGTTCTTTTTTCATTAGAGCCATAAGGAAGACTAAGTTGAACATTTTGTTATAGTTCACAGTCTGGGCTGCATCTGACTTCCGTTTTATGGGATAAAAAAATGACAAATAATACATAAATTCAGTTTGGTTTGCTTTTCCCTTTCAAAGTTCTCTAGAGACCTGAAATAATCTTCTTGACACCCATGCAAGGTAAGCGTAACTATCAAGTTTTACAGATGTGGAAACTGAGGCACAGAGAGGTTAAATAGTGCCATTTGAAAATATAGGTGCCTAAAATGAAGCAACTTGAGTCCACGATTCAAACAGCAGAAGCTCCAAGCTCCTGATGTCACTAGAAAACAAGGATGATCAGAATATCCATAGAACAGGCCCTGAATGGATGTGCTGGAACCTGCTGCAGAGCAAGTGTCTCCCAGGTATGGTTCCCCAGCTTGTAGCTGGACCACTAGACCTGAGCACTCCTTTGTGATTGTCAGAACCTGCATGTGGTTCCTAGCCCTGTTCAGGATTTGGGAATCTCACATTTTTTACAGATATTTGCTCCCAACTTACCTGCGCTTAGTCAATTCTCTTAATTCTATACCTGCATTTTTCTTTTCTGTGTGAGAAATCTCTTTAATAGGCATTATTAACTTCACAAGAAAACCTTTTTAGCAGCATAAAATACATTTTTGTTTTTGTTTCTTGGGATAGGCTTCCCTCTGAGAATTATTCACCAAGCCACATATTTGCTTTATTCAGCACTATTCTGTTAGAAATATTTCTTGTTTATTTAGTCTTATGCACTGGTCTGACATTCCCTTGTTGTTACAACACATTTGAGTAAGAGATTGAAGTACCCAGTGAATCCAAGATTATGTCCAAAACAAGCACTGATTTTAACTGTGGTTTTTTGGGGTCTCTGGTTGGAGTATCAGCACATTCAATTTTTCAGTATGTCCTGAGCTCTGACTGTGTAAAGCTTGGATTGTTCTGGGTGTCTGAAGGCAGCAGCTCCTGTAGTTCACAACAAACATTTCCAGCCTGGTGCTTCCAAGGAGCAGATGTACCTTTGAAACGTTGGTTATTTTCACTGAGCACTTATTAGTTTGACTAATGCAATTTCTGTCAATTCATAGTCGCAGTAAATTAACCAATATTGAGCTACTATTTCACAATTCTTACAAAGTCATTTATTCCCTAAGCTACAGGAGAAAAGAATATTTCCTTGTCCCTCCCCCTAAGTTGTTTTCAAAGAGGTTTCAAAAATCATTCAGATAATGAGACTTTAGTGCTGTGAAATTTTATCAAAGGGCACTCTTTCCCTGGACTCAGATATGAACATATTTTGCCAATCAGATAAAACTTTTCAAGCTTTTTTTCTAGTGGTGTCAGTGGTTAACTTGATCTTATTGCACCATAAACAATTTTGTGCTACAAATCATTTTTCATAGAATCTCTTTGTTATGTTGGGTGAACTCTGGAAAGATTGTTTGTAAGAACATTTCCAAGAACTTTACAGCACAGTGTAGTCTTCAATGAAATTAATATTACTTAAAAAGGTTTTTCTTTAGATTAATAAAAGAGAGAATGTATAATGAAAAGGATTTATAGGGAAATGTTTCAGTATAGTAATAGGAAGAAGAAATACCTATTAAGCAGAAAAATATCTGTGTACCAACCCCCTCTCCATTTTAAATTGTATATATTATTTTAGCTGTTAGGAGCCCATCCTTCCACCTTGTGAAAGCTGACAATTTTTACTTACAGCCTGAAGCTAAATACTGCAGTGCCTCAAAATGGAAGATAAAACAGCCCAACAGGTTTTCTTTGTCTTTTGAAAAAAATGGTGTGTCATTTCTACTCCCTCCCCCTCGTGTGTTCCTTCCCCCCCCCGATATATCCCTACTGGTATTAGCAGCTTTTCCTCCAAAAAAGCACTAGATGGTGCCCCTTTTCTTTGAGAGTGACAGAGCTGGATTCCCAAGGGACGTGCTGCCCTGCTGGGAAAAGCATCGGACACAAAAACTTGGAGTGTCTCCTTGTTCTTTAATATTATTGTTCCAATTCCTTGTTCCAATATAAGTCTCTTTTATGTCTTTCAAGTCTTCAAACCTGAACTAGATCCATCTTTAGGAGATCCTCTTGTTCCTGTTTGAAAATGAGTCATAACTTCAAAGATTCTTGGGCAGTAAAATATTTTTTTAAAAAGTGATTTTAAATCAAAAAGAAGAAGGAACAGGGTATGTACCTTCCTCCCTGTTGTCAGTAGCCCAGCACTACATCAAAGAACATTTGCATTCTTTTCTGAAAAGAAAACTTTTCAAGTCAGCAGTCTTTAATTAGATGCTAGCTGGTCAGTCTGACTGATATTAATTTGTTAATTTTGTTATGAACCTTAGCCTTTAACTGACTGAGCAGCTGTTTGTAAACAGAATTGATATTGCATGTCAGTATTTCTTTCAAATAAAGTGCCAAACAGGGAATCTGGCCTAACCTTATATTCTGTGTGTTCTGACAACTTATTCTATATCTTTACCAAAAAAAAAAGTTAGTACTTATGTACATCAGATTGTTACCTAGTCTTTGAAATTGGAATGAATAATTGCCTAAAAGGATATTACCTACCTGCATCTGTATTTCTTTCTGAAAAACAATTCTGTTTACCTGGTACATGTCATCTTTGTATTTAGGCAGTCATTATATTCTAGATCCTTAAGAGACAAAACTTATGACACTGAAACAAATTCAAAATCAGCAACAAATAAAATGTTTGCTTGTTAGGAAGGAAAGTTGAGGCAGATCTCTGATCTCTCATTGTGAAAACCCTAAAAATTAACTGAAAAAACCAGCTTCCTTTATTATGTTTATTTAAGCATTTGAAATGGCATAAAATAATAATTCTTTGAAGTGACCCAAGATAAATTAGTCCAGGTTTTTCATTTCTTACTATTTTTGTAAATGGTCCTTAGAAAATTAGGTCCATTGGCATCTGGGAACAAAAATTCAACTGGGAAAAGAAGCTCTAATATGAAACAGAAAGAATTATTCCCATGCTCTGGCTGCCCTGTCATATGTCATGACATGTGGCAGGTTGACTGCTCATTAATTCTATTTATATCAGTATGATAATACACCCCACTGAGTACACATGTGTTAAAATATTCATAAATTATGTTTAGTGCAAGCAGATATACATTACATGCCAAAAGAAGACTATTATTTAAAGACAAAACTGGTAAACAGTCAAACATGGAAAAGTCTTTTTAATGTTAGTCCAGTACATTGTGTATCATCAAACTCACATTTAATTGCCTTTACTTGCAGACTCTGTCTCCAGCAATGCAGTATCCAATGCACCTTTATATTTTTAACAGCTTGCAAAAGAAGCAGCTTTTACTGAAAGTAATTGGAATTTCAGCAATTACTGTAAATGTCATATTATCTCAAAGCAGTAACTATAACAATTTGAAATATTTAAAATGAAGCTTTACTTTGACCTGCACATATTTCAAGGTACTTTTACATAGCTTAAAGCTCTACTCTAAATATTAAAAAATTAAATGTGAAACATTTTTGAAGGGAAAGGCAGTTTAGCCCCCAAAATAGTTAATAGTAAATTTTTAGGCAAAAATTAACCCAAAATAGTTAATCATCCCTGCTCAGGATATTTTATATTACATATATATTTGTCTCTATCAATATTTATATCTATATCTATATATGTTAAACTTTTAAAAGGCCTGTTAAAACAGTAAAATGAAAAGTGTTTTACAGGCAGCTAATTTTGCATAGAATGTGAAAATAACCTCAGGATATTAAACCAGATATATCCGTGTCTTAAAACCAGTTTGTTCAGCATCAAAATGCTCTTCTATGTGCAATCAGTTTTGATTTTTCCCAGCATTAGATCAGAATTATTAGAATATTTAGACATTCTTTTTTTCTGGCAAGAAATCATTATAGACTATGTTGAATTCCTTTATTTAAAAATACCTTTCAAATGATGTTTTAAATTCAAAAACACATTTCAGAACTTCAGAAATTATCAAAATTTATCATGAACTAATGGCACAGGTGTTAAAATCCCTGCAAGTTTGAAAATTATTAACATAAGGTATGAAATAATACACATTTATTTACAGTTATTGTGATAGCAGTTCTCCTACTAAGTAAGCACAAACCAAGCTGGTTTTGATATCCTGTCAGTGCTTCACATTTGGAAAACAATTTCAAAAGTTTTAAAAATATCAAATGTTGTAATGGGCGCAGAGAGAAGGGAGAAGGGGGTTACTTCATGGTGAAATTTTGAGATGATATATGATGAGATTTGGAATTTATATATATCACAAAGGGCAAATAATTACCCTGTTTCTACTCATTTTAAAGGGACCCAAACAAGGGCAGGATGATGTGACTGACTGTAAAGTGAACATAACTGCTCTAATCACAAAACCATGCTAATGTTTCTAGCAGCAGTGAAGCAGAGTGACTTCTGATAAAGGACAAAGAGGGAGCACAGGAGCACGATGTTACAGAGTCATCTCTTCAGCAGATTTGGTGGGAAAGATGGTTTACCCAGGTGTTTGTGGGCAAAAATGTCACCCCTTGGTTTTGGCTGCATGGCCAAACTCACCAGCCTAGCTGACGGTTGCCCAGCTATACAAGTGGCTCAATTTTAGCCGTCAGTGAAATAGTTAGAGCGGGTTGGGAATTTTCTCTTTCTTTGATTGAAAAGGCTAGCTTGAGGAAACTGAAACTTTTTTGCTTTTTGCAGGCAGGTATCGATTTCAAAGAAACTCATCAGAAGAGATTTGTCAGCCGTCGGATGGAATTTCTGGTCGAGACCAGAAGGAGATGGCAAAGTTGGAGTATCAGGTAGCGCCGCGATCGGTCAGAGACTCACCTGGAATGTGGAAAATCAAGGTTCAGGCCTGGGGACTTGAACGTGAGATTTACAGAGTGCCCTGAACGAGGCTTTTGAGTTGTTTGCTTGCTGTGAATTTAACTGTTTATGTAAAGTGGAGTCCTGCTAGTGAGCAGGAGGTCTTGAGACCTGATGTGTCCCTGATGTGTCGGACTAGACTAGGATTTGAGGCAATTTGTGGAAAATGGGAGAGAGTGGCAAAGCAGGCAGCAACTGAGTGCTTTACTTACCCACCTTTTACATACTCTGCTCATCTCTCATTCTTGTGTATAAAATTCAAAAAGTCTTGGTCCTGGAGAGGAATGGGAACATTTCTGAAGACTCATAATAGCTTTGCAAAATGCAAAACCTGCTTCTCCCATCCCACCGTTATCCTCTTTGCCATAGAAACAAATTGCAAAAATCCACTGAATTCCTGGGAGCAAACTGTGACTCATGTAAAATGATTTGTCAATTACTAGGGAGTTTACTGGATGTAAGGTTCATTATAAGTATAAAAATTGCAGTCTCTTAATAAGACAGCTTTTAAAAATAAAACGCTTTCTGAATTTTAAGAAACTTTGTAATAATATAAACAAGGCTTTTAATCTTGGTAATGTTAGTGGCAAATTATATACTACATCTAATTTTATCAGATGATAACAGTTGTAGTTTTTATCTTCAAAAACAGGTTGTGAATGCTTGAGGGGAATAACTCTTCATAGCAAAAGCTAAGTTAATTTTGTGTTGTCTTATGTTGCTGGCAGAGAAGCCTTTATTTAGTTCATCTCTTTTTCTGTTTTGTTTTTTTTTTCTCCAAAAAAAGGAGTAATTTCATGCAGCAGTTTATTTAAATACAGAAAAAAAATCACATTAGAAAGATCTCTCATTATAAGCTTTCTGAAAGTTTGCTATGCACTTTCATGTAAAACTTGGCCTCAGTACAGAACTGCTGTACAATCATTTTCATCTGAGATTTGAACATATTGGATGAACTAGAGCAGTTCTTTCTTCTATCCTGTCATTTTTTTCCCTTGGAAATGATGAGCATATGGCAACCACCCTTACTGGATTCTCAAACAACAGGAGGGACCTTATTTCGATTCCTACATCCTGTCATCAGTGAATCCCATGATATTTTGTTCTTGCAAGGCTAAAGATGTGATTCGCATTTGCCATAAGGACAGAGCTTAATGTGATGCCATTTTACCACAGGAGCCCTCAATCAGTTAATTAAACATGATATAAATCACTGCATGTATTTGTAAAGTAAGATTAATATGGCAAAGTCAGAGTAATGAGGAATCCTCACCATTGTCTGAGTGTGAATCACTGATACGAAGATTACCCTTTTGAAACTGGATATCTTTGAGTGGGTTTTGTTGGCTTAATCCCTCAGACCGCTTTGTGCAACTTGAAACCCAGACCTGTCATCTTTAGCCAAAATTTCAGCCATAACTTCCTCAGCTTTCACCCAATCATTTAAATCAGCATTCATAATACTTAGAAAGATCAAGCCTTTCAGCATACCACAAGGCTTCTTCATACCACCTGGGACACTGACAACATGTTTAATAAATATTTCATTTTATTTCATCATGGAGATTCTTCTTTTGGGGTTTTTTTTCGGGGAATTTACAGGGTACCCACAGCAGCACATTCCATCACTACGGTCACTTAGGTTTACAGATTTAATAAAAATGTTTTTTTCCTTCTTGAAAGGTTATGGAGCCTTGTTAAACTAGGGCAATTACAGACACACAAAATAGGTGCTCTAGAAAGATCAAAGTTTCCTAAAGACAGCTCTCTAGGGTTCTGGAGCTCTATTAAAAAGCACTCAGTTTACAAAGCAGAGATTTATAAACCCACACTTTGAAAATCCTGTGTTCAAGTAATGCTAAAGGTCTGATATTATTTAATATGGAATCCACTTTAGCCACTCTTTTGATATCAAACTTTGAATCAGTCTGAAGAAAATCTGATAGATGGGCACACCATGACGCTGTGGGCATCCTGTGGCATGATGTCTTTCGTGGAACACTATTCCTTTGTTACAGAGCACCAGGCCTGTATTTTGCTGTTTTAAAAATCAGGCAGATCCTGCATATAGTAGGCAGCCTTGACCCTTTGTATTTCAGTTAGGAATGTGTAGGAGAGGAAAGAAAAAGGGAAGAAATGATGCTGTCCTTGTTCTTGGACTGAATTCTGTGCTCATCAGGGCAGTGAAGACAGGGGTCAGGCTAGAGGCAGATCCAATGAAAGGAACAGGTGTCTCCTCAAACAGAACCCTATGCTGGAGGACTCACAGTGTCTGAAGAGAGTCTCAGAAGCATTATGCAATCAAAGGAGCTGGCAAGAGCATATGATACAGCCAGAATTCTTAAGTGCTTTCCAGAATTCATAGACTTTACTCAGAAGATGCTTCCATCAGCTTGAGAGAGCTCTTGATCACCTCACTATGAGTGAACAGCACAAGTGGTATTGGTTTAAAAATGTTGGAGGGTGTCCCAGGTGGGATTGGGATGTCTGGGGGATAATTCAGTGCCAAAGAAGTAGACTTCCATCTCCTAGCTCACAGGACAATATGTTGCCATTGTGCCATCTGCTACTTCCCCAGAAAAGTGAGAAAAGATATGGGTACTTTCTGCTTCTCCCAGTGCAGTTGTGATGCTGGAGATCAAAGATCATGAGCAGAGAATGCAGAAGTGACTCCAACAGCCAAAGGGGAAAGAGAGGTTCTTGGACACTTGGATACCTTTTCCCCATGTCACCAGCAGAAAATTTTCCAAGCAGACCAAGAGGTGGCTTCATCTGAGTGCTGAATGCTCACAAACTCTGTGATGTGCAACTGATGGAGTCCGTGTACCTCCAGAAATGGGTGATTTGTGGGGGAGCCTTTCAAGTTGCTATTCTCTGCTCTGGAGCCTCTGCTTATTTTCCATTGATACCACACTTAATGGCTTGACTCTGTGAGCCCTAAGCCAGAGATGAGCCCTCATGTCAGGAGTTTGTGTGGCTGTTAAAGAACAACCTTTGGCTGACTTTTTTTGTCTGTCCTGATGGCCTTCAGAAAACCAGTAGATCCTGTGCAGCTGGAAGTACTGTCATTGCTGCTGGAATTTTGAAAGGTCTTTATTTGCAAATGCATGAATGATGAAAGTAAAAAGCGTAACAGGAGAATCCCTGTTGTATTCATAACTTTTCTAAGCTGCAGGTGCATAAACATAAACACTTGAGATGTGATGATCTCCTTTCTGTGCTCTTCATTAGGTTAACACAGTGTAAATTGAAACTGAAGTGAAAAACTGTTAACAGAATTGAGTTTCATTTCTGCTACTGTTTTTTTTTCTCATTCATGTTCTTTTTAAGTTCACAAATTCAGATTTGCTTTTGATGCAGCAGTTAATAAACATCATTTTGATACTGATTTGTGGATAGCTATTTGAGATTTAGCCTAAAACTATGCATAAATTACCTGACAATACCTTGGAAAATGGCCTGTTTAAAGAACTTCAGTCTTCTATGATCACTGTCAATACAATTTTCATGATAAAGGTTGTTATTATACCAAAATGGCTATACTGAAAGGCTGTCAGGAAAAATATGTGTATTCCTTTGAAATCTTACAAGTATCCCTGTGTTTGTTATGACGCAGGATTTTTGTCATAAATGGGTCAGTTATGTAGAATGACTAGAAAAGATCAGAAATAAATAAGTTGAGCTAACCTTAGAAAAAAGACTTTATCATGTGTGAGAAAACCCTCTGGAGTTGGGTTATATCTGTGGATATGCTGAGCATTTGTGTGACCATTTGTGAGTATTGCCACTGGTCTCAGAGGCTAGAGCTCCTCTCCTCTCCTCTCCTCTCCTTCAAATGTCCTACAGCAGCATAAAACTCTCCTTTTTTTATATAGTTTTCTGGTTGGAGTTGCTTCTTTTTCTACTCTTGGAATCCATCACTCCCATAAAACTCCAGTTACAGCTGCATTTGCTTACTGTGTGGCTTGCTTTTATGGCTCTTCCAAACCTCTATTGCATTTTACAAAACCTGCAACATATAGTCCCATGTTCATTCTTGTTCTTATTTTTGCCCTGTGGGTGATATTGCTTACTTATCCAGTGCTGTCAGACCCTGAATAGCTTTGCTTTATTTATTCCTTTCTTACATTGTTGTGTTTTGTCTGATATCTAACCTAAAATTCCTTGTCATTTATGATGAAAACTTGCAAAATGCAAACAGTTTACTGAGAGGATTAGAGTTGATGTGAAGGATTAATGCAGAGCTAAGGAATCTCCCTGCAAGATATTTGGATCAAATCCAGCCTGCACAAGTTACCACAAGTTGTAGTGGGCAAATACAATGTACATTTTCATTGGTTTGAGGTACTTTCGTGTATATAATCACTCAAATATTGAGAAGCTTCTCTTTTAGGCAGGTTTGTATGATTTTGGTGTTGAATCACTACAGTGCTTTATTTCATGATGTTCAGCATAGTGAATTTTACATTTGGTGCCTGATCATTCATGGGAGAGGCACGTGGAGCTGATAAGAAGTTAATGTACGATGTAGAAATGTCTGTGTGCATGTCCAGCCAGGATGGGGAAACAAGGCCACAGGACTTTTGTCCTCTCAACTGGCACATCTTAGCACACAAGTTGAAAGTTTGTTTATTATTCTTTTTTTAGAATTGAACAACTGCATTCCCAACCTTTTTGAAAATTGTTAAAAACATAGCATCACGTCCTGCTCATATATTCTTTGCAGAAAAGTTAACCAGAGTGAAAATTCTCTAAGGCCACATGTAGGATTATTGTGTGTGGACTTCCATTAATATCCAGCAATGCTCTCTGGAGAGATGCTTCCTGTGTGCGGCTGGAAACAAACTAGCTCAGAATGCCTGACAAACTTTCTGTCTGGGAATGCGAAGACTGGACAGAAGAGTGGTGTGAGTTCCTTAAAGTTAATTCGTGGTGAGAAAGTAGTGTCAAGTTTTTTGTATTAATCCCTCGTGCTCCTCAAACACTAGTTCTAAATAGTACATTCAATACTATTAGCAAATATTGGGGTAGTTTCAGATGAAAAATTCCAGGGCATAGAGCTCAAGGATTAAACCCTCTTGCAGGGCTACTTGTAAACCAGTCTATGATGCTGGGATCTTTGCCGATTCAAGTATTTGATATTAAAAACAAAACAAAACAAAACAATAACAACAACAAAAGTAAAACCTCAAGAAACCCCCCCCAAAAAAACCCAAACAAAAAAATCCAAAATCAACAACAACAAAAAAGCCATCAAAAACAACAACAACAAAAAAGCCATCAAAAACCACAACAACAAAAAACCCCTAAAAAAACCCAAAAAAAACAAGCTGAAACCCACCCAGAAACCCCCCCCAAAAAACCAACCAAAAACCCCCAAAAAAACCAACAAAAACCTGAGCTCGAAAATAATAAGGATCTCTGTTCATATGCTTTACACATAATGTAATTTCCTGTCATGTTTTTTGTAGATTTGTAATCCTACTTGTTATAAGATTAAGGTAGACTACAGAGACATGTACCTGAATTTTCCCTGAAAAGTCAGTGAGTGCAGTCAAGACTCCTCCATTTCACTGGCTGAAGGATCAGGCCCAACTTTTATATTTGGTGGTAATGCTCAAGTAGGCTTTAGTGGCTTTTGCTCTGCATTGTAATTTTTTTGCAGCATAATAAAAAGCTCTTTAGAACATTGCTACATAGATTAATATAGAAAGTGCTGGTGATACTTTTATACACAAGGAGTTTAATACTAGGATGCAAGAGCAAATTGATTGCAGGCAATCCTGTGCTTGAGTACCCAGGAGTGAAAGGAATGATTACAATAACCTCTGGGATTTCTTCTCAGATGTGGTTCCTGAAAACACCCACACCCACAAAGTATTGGGCACAACAGAGTATTGTTTCCTTCTGATGTGGAATCACAAAAACATATTTTACTTCAGGAGGTGGGAGGGTTGAGGGGGAGAGGAAACTCAAGAGACATTAATGTTTAATGTTTTTAATTTTGTAAAATGAACAACAAAAAGAATATGGTTTGTGAATGCTGCTGAGATTGTTTAAACTCTGGCAGCTTGCTGTCAGATGAGATACTAAAAGCCAGGAAGGAAGAAGAAACTGAGGGGCAAACTAACTTAACTGCTGGCATGTCACCTTTGGCACCCTGATCTGATGGAAGAGTGAAATAATGGTGAGACAAATTTGGCATGCATTGCTGTGGTTGCCACAAAATGACTTGCACCGCCTTGAATTGTATCAGACAGGACCTTGAATTGCAGCCAGGCAGGTATATTTCTCTTCTTTGTGGAAGGTTCTAGCTGTTATAGAGCTCATTTTCCTGGCCAGCTCCTGGGTTGAGGACTACATTAATTGTGCTTTTGCTTCACTTAGCCCTTCCAGATTGCCCTCTTCAACCCTGACAGGGAACATGTCTGTGACTGGGGCCTTCCAGGCAGACAGTGCAGCATCTCTCAGGAATGGGGAGGAATTCTCACAGGACTT